ACCACACACACTACTGTCACCACACTACTGTCACCACACACACTACTGTCACCACACTACTGTCACCACACGCACTACTGTCACCACACTACTGTCACCACACACACTACTGTCACCACACACTACTGTCACCACACACACTACTGTCACCACACGCTACTGTCACCACACACACTACTGTCACCACACACTACTGTCACCACACACACTACTGTCACCACACACACTACTGTCACCACACACACTACTGTCACCACACGCTACTGTCACCACACACACTACTGTCACTACACACACTACTGTCACCACACACTACTGTCACCACACACTACTGATCAACCAGGCTGTGACTCATACGTCAGGCTGCGAGCAGCCGCGTCTAACAGCCTGGTTGATCAGTCCAGCAACCAGGAGGCCTGGTCGACGACCGGGCCGCGGGGACACTAAGCCCCGGAAGCACCTCAAGGTAGGTAGGTAGGTACTGTCACCACACTACTGTCACCACACACACTACTGTCACCACACACTACTGTCACCACACACACTACTGTCACCACACACTACTGTCACCACACACACTACTGTCACCACACACACTACTGTCACCACACACACTACTGTCACCACACACACTACTGTCACCACACACACTACTGTCACACACACTACTGTCACCACACACACTACTGTCACCACACACACTACTGACACCACTGTCACACACTACTGTCACCACACACACTACTGTCACACACACTACTGTCACCACACACACTACTGTCACCACACACACTACTGTCACCACACACACTACTGTCACCACACACTACTGTCACCACACACACTACTGTCACCACACACTACTGTCACCACACACACTACTGTCACCACACACACTACTGTCACCACACACTACTGTCACCACACACACTGTCACACACACTACTGTCACCACACACACTACTGTCACCACACACTACTGTCACCACACACACTACTGTCACCACACACTACTGTCACCACACACACTACTGTCACCACACACACTACTGTCACCACACACACTACTGTCACCACACACACTACTGTCACCACACACACTACTGTCACCACACACACTACTGTCACCACACACACTACTGTCACCACACACACTACTGTCACCACACACACTACTGTCACCACCACACACACTACTGTCACCACACACACTACTGTCACCCACACACTACTGTCACCACACACACTACTGTCACCCACACACTACTGTCACCACACACACTACTGTCACACACACACTACTGTCACCACACACACTACTGTCACCACACACACTACTGTCACCACACACACTACTGTCACCACCACACACACTACTGTCACCACACACACTACTGTCACCACACACACTACTGTCACCACACACACTCACCACACACTGTACACCACACACACTACTGTCACCACACACACTACTGTCACCACACACACTACTGTCACCACACACACTACTGTCACCACACACACTACTGTCACCACACACACTACTGTCACCACACACACTACTGTCACCACACACACTACTGTCACCACACACACTACTGTCACCACACACACTACTGTCACCACACACTACTGTCACCACACTACTGTCACCACACACACTACTGTCACCACACACTACTGTCACCACACACACTACTGTCACCACACACTACTGTCACCACACACTACTGTCACCACACACTACTGTCACCACACACACTACTGTCACCACACTACTGTCACCACACATACTACTGTCACCACACACCACTGTCACCACACACACTACTGTCACCACACACTACTGTCACCACACACACTACTGTCACCACACTACTGTCACCACACATACTACTGTCACCACACACCACTGTCACCACACACACTACTGTCACCACACACTACTGTCACCACACACACTACTGTCACCACACACTACTGTCACCACACTATTGTCACCACACACACTACTGTCACCACACACACTACTGTCACCACACACTACTGTCACCACACACACTACTGTCACGACACACACTACTGTCACCACACACACTACTGTCACCACACACACTACTGTCACCACACACACTACTGTCACCACACACACTACTGTCACCACACACACTACTGTCACCACACACACTACTGTCACCACACACTACTGTCACCACACACACTACTGTCACCACACACACTACTGTCACCACACACACTACTGTCACCACACACACTACTGTCACCACACACTACTGTCACCACACACACTACTGTCACCACACACTACTGTCACCACACACACTACTGTCACCACACACACTACTGTCACCACACTACTGTCACCACACACATGCGGCCAAGTGTGGCACCAGCAGCAAGTCTTGACAGCAAACTGTGTCAATAACACTTACCTTAACGTCTGAGGGTCCTTGGCCTGCCTGGTGACACAGGCCAGCCTGCCTGGTGACACAGGTCAGCCTGCCTGGTGACACAGGCCAGCCTGCCTGGTGACACAGGTCAGCCTGCCTGGTGACACAGGCCAGCCTGCCTGGTGACACAGGCCAGCCTGCCTGGTGACACAGGCCAGCCTGCCTGGTGACACAGGCCAGCCTGCCTGGTGACACAGGCCAGCCTGCCTGGTGACACAGGCCAGCCTGCCTGGTGACACATGTCAGCCTGCCTGGTGACACAGGCCAGCCTGCCTGGTGACACAGGTCAGCCTGCCTGGTGACACAGGCCAGCCTGCCTGGTGACACAGGCCAGCCTACCTGGTGACACAGGCCAGCCTGCCTGGTGACACAGGCCAGCCTGCCTGGTGACACAGGCCAGCCTGCCTGGTGACACAGGCCAGCCTGCCTGGTGACACGTGTCAGCCTGCCTGGTGACACGTGTCAGCCTGCCTGGTGACACAGGCCAGCCTGCCTGGTGACACGTGTCAGCCTGCCTGGTGACACAGGCCAGCCTGCCTGGTGACACAGGCCAGCCTGCCTGGTGACACATGTCAGCCTGCCTGGTGACACAGGCCAGCCTGCCTGGTGACACAGGCCAGCCTGCCTGGTGACACAGGCCAGCCTGCCTGCCTGGTGACACAGGCCAGCCTGCCTGGTGACACAGGCCAGCCTGCCTGGTGACACAGGCCAGCCTGCCTGCCTGGTGACACAGGCCAGCCTGCCTGGTGACACAGGCCAGCCTGCCTGGTGACACAGACCAGCCTGCCTGGTGACACAGGCCAGCCTGCCTGGTGACACAGGCCAGCCTGCCTGGTGACACAGGTCAGCCTGCCTGGTGACACAGGCCAGCCTGCCTGGTGACACAGGCCAGCCTGCCTGGTGACACAGGCCAGCCTGCCTGGTGACACAGGCCAGCCTGCCTGGTGACACAGGTCAGCCTGCCTGCCTGGTGACACAGGCCAGCCTGCCTGGTGACACAGGTCAGCCTGCCTGGTGACACAGGTCAGCCTGCCTGGTGACACAGGTCAGCCTGCCTGGTGACACAGGTCAGCCTGCCTGGTGACACAGGCCAGCCTGCCTGGTGACACAGGCCAGCCTGCCTGGTGACACAGGCCAGCCTGCCTGGTGGCACAGGCCAGCCTGCCTGGTGACACTGGCCAGCCTGCCTGGTGACACAGGTCAGCCTGCCTGCCTGGTGACACAGGCCAGCCTGCCTGGTGACACAGGTCAGCCTGCCTGCCTGGTGACACAGGCCAGCCTGCCTGGTGACACAGGTCAGCCTGCCTGGTGACACAGGTCAGCCAGCCTGGTGACACAGGCCAGCCTGCCTGGTGACACAGGCCAGCCTGCCTGGTGACACAGGTCAGCCTGCCTGGTGACACAGGCCAGCCTGCCTGGTGACACAGGCCAGCCTGCCTGGTGACACAGGCCAGCCTGCCTGGTGACACAGGCCAGCCTGCCTGGTGACACAGGCCAGCCTGCCTGGTGACACAGGTCAGCCTGCCTGGTGACACAGGCCAGCCTGCCTGGTGACACAGGCCAGCCTGCCTGGTGACACAGGCCAGCCTGCCTGGTGACACAGGCCAGCCTGCCTGGTGACACAGGCCAGCCTGCCTGGTGACACAGGCCAGCCTGCCTGGTGACACAGGCCAGCCTGCCTGGTGACACAGGCCAGCCTGCCTGGTGACACAGGTCAGCCTGCCTGGTGACACAGGCCAGCCTGCCTGGTGACACAGGCCAGCCTGCCTGGTGACACAGGTCAGCCTGCCTGGTGACACAGGCCAGCCTGCCTGGTGACACAGGCCAGCCAGCCTGCCTGGTGACACAGGTCAGCCTGCCTGGTGACACAGGTCAGCCTGCCTGGTGACACAGGCCAGCCTGCCTGGTGACACAGGTCAGCCTGCCTGGTGACACAGGCCAGCCTGCCTGGTGACACAGGTCAGCCTGCCTGGTTACACAGGTCAGCCTGCCTGGTGACACAGGTCAGCCTGCCTGGTGACACAGGCCAGCCTGCCTGGTGACACAGGCCAGCCTGCCTGGTGACACAGGCCAGCCTGCCTGCCTGGTGACACAGGCCAGCCTGCCTGGTGACACTGGCCAGCCTGCCTGGTGACACAGGCCAGCCTGCCTGGTGACACAGGCCAGCCTGCCTGGTGACACAGGCATCATTTTGCCAGGCACCTAATTAACAAGACTACCCACAAACTGCCTACCTGGCCTACCTGGCCTACTTGGCCTACCTGGCCTACCTGGCCTACCTGGCCTACTTGGCCCACCTGGCCTACCTGGCCTACTTGGCGGCTCGGTTGAGCTTTCTTCAAGCCCCGGACCTCCTCCTCTAAGATCTTCTCACGCATCTTAAGATGTTCCATCTCCCTGGCCGAGGCCCGAAGCGCCTTCTGTAGCTCATGGGTCACGCCTCGTAGCTGAATGGCCTCCGCCTCGTAGCTCTTGAGGTGACCCACCTCCAGAACACAAGGGGGGGGGTCAACAGGGGTCAATAGGGGTCAACAGGGGTCAACAGGGGCACAGTTATAATAGGGGAGGTAAGCAGAGGCAGATTTGAGGAGTGGGTAGAGGCACAATTGGGGGAAGTAGAGTTGTAACTAGAGGGTGGAAGGGGGGGAGGGGGTTTTAGTGAGAGGGGGAGGGGGATTTAGTGAGAGGGGGGGACATGAGGGAGAGTAGCAAGTGATAGCATAGTTATCATAATATAATTTATTGGGAAAAAGCAATTGTTATGAATTGGTTATCAGAAGCATCTCAATATTATTATTTTTTGATAACATGGTGTTGGACTTAAGACCTATCAACCTCTGGAGGGTAATTAAGACCACCACAATACCTTACTGACCAACCAGCAAGTTTGGTGTTGGACTTAAGACCTATCAACCTCTGGAGGGTTATTAAGTCCTCCACAACAGCTTACTGAACAACCAGCAAGTTGGTGTTGGACTTAAGGCCTAAATCAACCTCTGGAGGGTTATTAAGTCCAACACAACACCTTACTGACCAACTAGCAAGTTTGGTGTTGGACTTAAGACCTATCAACCTCTGGAGGGTTATTAAGACCACCACAATACCTTACTGACCAACCAGCAAGTTTGGACCACCACAATACCTTACTGACCAACCAGCAAGTTGTTGGACTTAAGACCTATCAACCTCTGGAGGGTTATTAAGACCACCACAATACCTTACTGACCAACCAGCAAGTTTGGTGTTGGACTTAAGACCTATCAACCTCTGGAGGGTTATTAAGACCACCACAATACCTTACTGACCAACCAGCAAGTTTGGTGTTGGACTTAAGACCCATCAACCTCTGGAGGGTTATTAAGGCCACCACAATACCTTACTGACCAACCAGCAAGTTTGGTGTTGGACTTAAGACCTATCAACCTCTGGAGGGTTATTAAGACCACCACAATACCTTACTGACCAACCAGCAAGTTTGGTGTTGGACTTAAGACCCATCAACCTCTGGAGGGTTATTAAGGCCACCACAATACCTTACTGACCAACCAGCAAGTTTGGTGTTGGACTTAAGACCTATCAACCTCTGGAGGGTTATTAAGACCACCACAATACCTTACTGACCAACCAGCAAGTTTGGTGTTGGACTTAAGACCTATCAACCACTGGAGGGTTATTAAGACCACCACAATACCTTACTGACCAACCAGCAAGTTTGGTGTTGGACTTAAGACCTATCAACCTCTGGAGGGTTATTAAGACCACCACAATACCTTACTGACCAACCAGCAAGTTTGGTGTTGGACTTAATGAAGTATACTTATTGGGTTATACATATCCCGTATAATAGCGTATATCATATATACACTGGTATATATTTGGTGTATATATTAGAGGTATATTTTCCTCACGCAGAGGTATATATATATGGTATGAGCAGTGGATGGGTAGGGAGGGATGGGGGAGCAGTGGATGGGTAGGGAGGGATGGGGGAGCAGTGGATGGGTAGGGAGGGATGGGGGGAGCAGTGGATGGGTAGGGAGGGATGGGGGGAGCAGTGGATGGGTAGGGAGGGATGGGGGAGCAGTGGATGGGTAGGCAGGGATGGGGGGAGCAGTGGATGGGTAGGGAGGGATGGGGGGAGCAGTGGATGGGTAGGGAGGGATGGGGGAGCAGTGGATGGGTAGGGAGGGATGGGGGAGCAGTGGATGGGTAGGGAGGGATGGGGGGAGCAGTGGATGGGTAGGGAGGGATGGGGGAGCAGTGGATGGGTAGGGAGGGATGGGGGAGCAGTGGATGGGTAGGGAGGGATGAGGGAGCACTTGATGGGTAGGGAGGGATGGGGGAGCAGTGGATGGGTAGGGAGGGATGGGGGAACAGTGGATGGGTAGGGAGGGATGGGGGGAGTAGTGGATGGGTAGGGAGGGATGGGGGGAGCAGTGGATGGGTAGGGAGGGATGGGGGAGCAGTGGATGGGTAGGGAGGGATGGGGGGCAGTGGATGGGTAGGCAGGGATGGGGGGAGCAGTGGATGGGTAGGCAGGGATGGGGGGAGCAGTGGATGGGTAGGGAGGGATGGGGGGGAGCAGTGGATGGGTAGGGAGGGATGGGGGGGGGAGTAGTGGATGGGTAGGGAGGGATGGGGAAGGCAGTGGATGGGTAGGGAGGGATGGGGGAGCAGTAGATGGGTAGGGAGGGATGGGGGAGCAGTGGATGGGTAGGGAGGGATGGGGGGAGCAGTGGATGGGTAGGGAGGGATGGGGGAGCAGTGGATGGGTAGGGAGGGATGGGGGAGCAGTGGATGGGTAGGCAGGGATGGGGGGAGCAGTGGATGGGTAGGCAGGGATGGGGGGGGGAGCAGTGGATGGGTAGGGAGGGATGGGGGGAGCAGTGGATGGGTAGGGAGGGATGGGGGAGCAGTGGATGGGTAGGGAGGGATGGGGGAGCAGTGGATGGGTAGGGAGGGATGGGGGGGGGAACGGTGGATGGGTAGGGAGGGATGGGGGAGCACTTGTTGGGTAGGGAGGGAT